CATCTGCGAAAGAACAGAGTAGAAAGACAATCAGTATTTTAGAAACAGAACCACACGACAAGAAAGAACAAAAGTGAAATTTTTCTTAACTCCGTAGCCTCTGGGGGATAAATACAGACGTCTCCGTACCGATCCCTCAGACTCTACTAAGCTTGTCCGTGAGTTGTGAGACCTATGTAACCTAGAGCTCTAATACCAACTTGTCACGACCCGGATTTCCCACCATCGGGAGTCGTGATGGCGCCTACTAATAGGAGCTAGGCAAGCCAATTAATTTAACACTTCTCTTAGACAAATTAACCATATAAGGAAAGACGAGACAATTAACATAAAAGCGGAAGTCTTAAAACATATATAACTGAAAACCAAATGCGGAAGTTTAACATTTCTCTACCCAAGACTGGTGTCACTAACTCACGAACTACTAAAGATACTAAAAACAAGTCTGAATAGAAGTACATCAATGTTTGTCTCGGTACAAGGAAAACAAACTAATAACATAGAAGGGACTTCGGTCTGCGGACGTCAGCTAGGCTACCTCAAAAGTCCCTGAACTGGAGTCAACTCCCGGATCCTCTACCGCTGTCCAAAAGCTGCTGCTCCTGCGCTGTGATCTGTGCAAAAAGATCCACAGAGTGTAGCATCAGCACAACCGGCCCCATGTGCTGGTAAGTGCCTAGCCTAACCCCGGCGAAGTAGTGACAGGCAGACCAGACTACCAGATAAACCTGTGCAGTTATGATATATAGTGCGGAAAATAAACAGGAAATAAACAGTTATATAAGGAGGGGGAAACATGTTGTGGGGAGGCAACAGTTAAAACAGGAAGTCTAAGCTTAAAGGATAGAACAGCCAATAGAAGTTTAAATCCGAAATAAACACAATTAAGCTATAGTTTGTTGCGGTGCGCAACCCGATCCGATCACATACAATACTGTTTGCGGCGTGCAACCGATCCTCAATCATATAGTGTTGTTGCGGCGCGCCAACCCGATCCTCAATTATATAGTGTTGTTGCGGCGTGCAACCCGATCCTCAATTATATAGTGTTGTTTGCGGCGTGCAACCCGATCCTCAATATATAGTGTTGTTGCGGCGTGCAACCGACCTATTATATATATAAACATCCAAACCTCACCTAATCAACAATCCCGAGTAAGGGGTAAGGGGAGGTAACAACTGGTGACAGCAACCCCGGCAAGGGGAATATAGCAACGCAACTAAATCCCGGCAAGGAGAAAAATCAACAAAAAACAAATAACACGTCCCGGCAAGGGAGTAATCGTTCAACTCTTTCACTTTCTTTACACTTTCTCACTGAAATTTCACCTTAACGTTTCGAGCCATCGCTCTAAGAGTCATTTTCAAAAATCTCTGTCTCATGCTCTTTACAGTATATAGAAATCATCGAACAAGCATGGAAGAATCAGAACGATTCAGGATAATGTCAATATAAGGACACACGGTCATGCTAGACACCGGTGTATAGATACTCGTCACCATGCCTATACACCGCACTCGACAAATAGCAATTAGCAAATAAGACTCTACTCCTATTCCCTCAAGCCAAAGTTAGACCAAACACTTACCTCAAATGCTCCAAAAATCAACTCAAGCCTCTAGTGTAGCTTTACCCCTCGAAATCGGCTCCAACTCAGTCAAATCTATGAAATAATGACTTTACAATATTAATAATAGCTAAACAAACTAAACCCAATGCCTAAATATGAATTTCCAAGATTTCTTCCAAAAATTTCAAAATCGACCCCGGGCTCGCTTGGTCAAAACACGAGGTTCGAACCAATTCCATGTCACCCATTCCCCCACGAGCCCGGATATACAATTTGTTTTCAAATTCGACCCCAAAACGAGGTCTAAATCAAAGAAAATTGAAAAGCCCTAATTCCACCCTTTTCCCCAATTCTTACCATGAACTACATGATTTAGGTCTAGGAATTTGATAAATGATGATAGAAAATGAAGAAAACGAGTTAGATAATACTTACCCAAGAAGCTTTGGTGAAGGATAGCTCTAAAAATCGCCTATGTGCTGTGGAGAAGATGAACTCGTGTGTTTTGGGTGAAAAATCCCGTTACTGGTCTGTTTTTAGGCTTTAAAAATAACTGGGCGAATTTGCCCTACGCGATCGCAGAAATAGGGATGCGATCGCGAAAGGTCCCACTGACTGGTCATCGCGATCGCGTGGATGGTAACGCGAACGCGTAGAAGAAATACTGGGGGTCCAAAAGTTTGGTCTATGCGAACGCGAGTCTACTGGTGCGAACGCATTGAAGGAAATGCTGAAGCTACGCGATCGCGTGACCGAGTACGCGAACGCGGAAGAGGAAAAAGCCAAAGGAACGCGAACGCGGGCTGAAGATTGCGATCGCGAAGGAGGGAACAACTGTGCAAAAATTGCAGATTTTCTGCAACTTTCTCTAAGGCCAAAAACATCCCGAACCACCTCCGAATCACTCCCGAGCCCTTGGGGCTCCTAACCAAACACACACACTAACTCAACAACCTCATAAGAACTTAACCAAGCGATCAAATCGCCAAAACAACATCAAAATCAATGAATCAACCCTCAAAATCATCTTTTTTCATTCTAACTTCATAAACTTCAAATTTTAGATATTTAGGTCCGAAACACGTCAAATGACGTCCGATTTCGACCAAATTTCACAGGAAGTGCTTAAACCATATATAAGACTTGTACCGGGCGTCGGAACCAAAATACGAGCCCGATACCACAACCTTTTAATCAATTTTCATTTCCATTTTCCTTAATAATTTCAGAAAAATAATTTCACAGAAAAATTCTTTTCTCGGGCTCTAGACCTCGGAATTCGACTCCGGACATATGCCCGAGTCCCATATTTTTCTACGGACCCTCCGGGACCGTCAAATCACGGGTCCAGGTCCGTTTACCAAAAATATTGACCAAAGTCAACTTTAATCATTTTAAAGCCACATTTTAAAATTTTCACAGAATTTAACATATAATCTTTCCGGCTACGCGTCCGGACTGCGCACACAAATCGAGGAAAGTAAAAAATGAGGTTTTCAAGGCCTCGGAAGCGCGGAATGAAAGAGAAAACAGGTGATGACCTTTTGGGTCGTCACACTCGCAAACACCAGGTTGAGGGTTAATAATAATTTTACATGTAACCATCTCATAGATGCATCTTATGTGGTATACATGGCAGGTGAATGGGCCCATATTCACCTTTGATATTTCCAGCATTCATGGGATTCAGTTCCAATTTTAATTGGTCTATTAATTAATGAGAACAAGCAACATAAAAGAATTCGATCGTAAAGAACTTTCTAGTTCTTTAATGATTACCCATGTGAATTCTCTTTTATTTTTGCACATCATACTTAAATTAATATGGCTAAACCAATTATGTCAACTGAATAAATTATCAATATTGATAAACTTCAGGTTTACACCATGACGCGTGCAATTATAAAAATACTCCAAGTTTATTATGATATGTGTTTTTATATCAATAAACATTCACTTTATTATGGTATTCTTTTATTTGTGTAGTACAAGCCGCAGAATTAAGTGGGTAGCTTTTCACATACATAGTACCCCATTACAAGTTGTAGTAATAAAAGATATTAAATCTTTCCTTTATTTATAGTCTCAATTTAACCAACCGCTTTCGCGAATACTTTTGAAACTCAATAAGTTTCTTTGAGACTTACTACGACATAATATCTTATTGATAATCAATTTTATTTCTCCAAAATATTAATAATTGGCTCTTCCATAACTCTCAATTAATTTTTTACTACCATATATTCATCATCATCCGTATGATGAATATCTCTTTCAAGGAGAAAATTATATTATTATAGTCATGGTCAAAATTATATGCAAGATCTGTTTCTTGCATTATTGTTATTCTTTAATAATCACATTACCAAATATTTTGGTGTACAATAGGTATGTGACCAATGACCATTCATGCCATAATAATGATATTATTTTCTTATATCATCTCAAACCTCCTTCTAGAGGTGAGTGCGGTATATTCACTACCACTAGCACGTTTATATTCTTTCAAGAATGAATATGTATTCATAAATCACATGTTGTCACATTCAAGTCATGAATGGACCATAATCATCTATATGTGCTTTACAAAATCTCATGTCAAATCGATGACAAATATTACTTTCACAGAGTGAAGGATTATTCTGAGAATCCTTATTATTCTCATTATCACAAGGATGCCGATTATGATTTCGTCTTTGCCACGTCCACATCTATTGATACCTTCATGGTAATAATCTTGTCTTCTTTCAGACTTATTACATACTGCTATCACATTCTCTTAAGCGAATGAGAATGAAGCAAATTCAATGGGACGAGTTTCCACTTCTTGAGCCCACAATCATACATGAATTTGATCATGGCAAGACAAAGAAATTTTACCACTTCGGGTGGTAATAATTTCTTACAAACTCCATTAGAGTTATAATAAAAATTTATTGTCTTTGCTTGTATTTAAAATCAAATTATCGAATGTCAAGAATTTAAAAGAGAAAAATAAGGTAAAATACTTACCGTAAATCCACAATTATTCATGAAGGAAGTTCTTTGAACAATTGACAATCATTATGCTCAATCCCGAAGCTTCTACTCAATTGGTTAGAATCCCTCGTTTATAACATGTTATAAAATAATAAAAGAAGAAGTATTGCGGAGAAAAATATATAGAAATTTTTTATTGATTTGGGATGAATTACAATAGAATATGACCTCTTTATTTATAGGGAAAAAGTGACTAAGCGACCAAGTAGCAAACCCTACCTTAAATATAATTCTATTTGTAATAATATTTCATTTATTGGTTCTAGGATATATTTTACATATTTTCTTAAAATAAAATAATAAAGAAGTTGTGAATTTATCTAGCTGGCTACCTTGTCATTCAGATCATGAGCTTATATTACAGCCTAAATATAGTCCTCTAGCATGCTAGATATTTGCTACTCCTACATATAATATCGTCTCTCTCTCTCTCTCTCTCTCTCTCTCTTGTCATCTTCAGCAATATCTGTCACCTTAAAACGACAAACCAAGAAAATTTTCTGATCTCCACATTCTGATGAACAACATTAGTTGTCTAAATACCAAGAACTTACTGCTTCTGATCTACTACTAGTAGTCAAATACAATCTTGGGGGTATTAAATTTCAAGTACTTGTAGCAAAAAGGGTATCCAAAGTAAAAGATGAGTTTCAGAGAAGAGAATAATGAAGATGGAAGAGGAGGAGGAGGGGATCTGAGGAAGCCATTTTTGCATACCGGAAGTTGGTATCGTATGGGTTCAGCACAGACTTCAAGCATGATGATGGGTTCTTCTCAAGTTATTCGTGATAGCTCAATCTCAGTTCTTGCTTGTGTTATGATTGTTGCTTTGGGTCCGCTCCAGTTTGGTTTCACTGTAATTTATCCCTTACTCCTTTTGCATTCAGTTTCTTTCCTTTGCTTTGATACTAAATGTCTGATTATCTGTTGATAAATTGCAATTTCCATAAAGATGATAACTTTGAATAGTAAAAGTGTTTTACCTTTCTTTTTTAGTTGTAAATGGATCAATTTGGATAAAAGGTTGAATCTTTGTATTCTGTAACTTGAATCTGTAGTAATTCTAGAGATTGAAATTTCCCTTATATAGTCAGCACTTTCTTGTTCTTTTTTTTTTTTTTTTTTGTGGTAATAAAAGGATCAATTTTGCCTAAAAGGTGGAGTCTTTATTGAGATTTCTATTTATTCTTGTAACCTAAATCTGTAGTAATTTTAGAGATTGAAGTTTCCATTATGTAGTCTGCAATTTCTTGGCTGGTGTTAAAATGAAATTGAAGCTTGTACCTTGCTTTTAAGTCATAAAGGGATCACTTGGCAGAAAGGTTGCTTCTTTGTTGGGAATACAATTTTTTTTCTGGGATTACTATTTGTTATGGCAATTTTCTGCCTAAATGTGTAGTAATTCTAGAGGTTGAAGTGTCCCTGTGTAATCTGCACTTTCTTGGATGGATACCAGTTTTATATTGCTGCTACGTATGTATCTTTTGTATCTATGTATGTTTATATGTATGTATGTACATGTGTCTGTGTGCGTCTATATCTCTGTTTGATCATTTGTTTTTTTTTTGGTTGTTACTGTAGTCTGGTTATTCTTCGCCTACGCAAACTGCTATTACCAAAGATCTGAAGCTCACTGTTTCTGAGGTAATGAGTCATTCTTGCTTTATATATTTCGATTCATTTGCTTGAGAGCAATTGCTGACTAAAGTTAATCTTTTCAGTTCTCTTTGTTCGGTTCATTATCTAATGTGGGTGCTATGGTGGGGGCAATATCTAGTGGTCAAATTGCCGAGTACATTGGGCGAAAAGGGGTAAGATAATGGCATCAATAGGCTCTGCTTCCCCTTTTCTTTTGCTTGCCTATTTTGTACAAGTGGATACTCAAGTTTCTTGTCCTACTTGCAGTCTTTAATGATAGCTGCTATACCTAACATCATTGGTTGGCTTTCCATCTCATTTGCCAATGTAAGACAATTCTGCTTTGATGCTAATGAAAAAATTACTACTGGTCATATGATGCGTCAAACCTACACTATTGCAATATTTCTACATCCCTTTCTGACTCAAATATTGATCCAGGATCTGTCCTTCTTATACATGGGAAGATTATTGGAAGGTTTTGGAGTCGGCATAATTTCTTACACGGTAAACATTAAGTTTGTTAATTCTCTTTTTTGTTACATTGTATAAGTTATTGGAGATATTAAAAGTGTCAAAAATTTTCTGCTTCCATGTCATGCTTATTTCAGGTTCCTGTATATATTGCCGAGATAGCACCTCAAAACCTGAGAGGGGCCCTAGGGTCAGTTAACCAGGTATGCTTAGTGGCTTCATTCTCTTTAACCAAAGTTATGCCTGTTAAGTAAATCATGCTAACTTTTCTATCATATAGCTCTCTGTTACAGTTGGGATCATGTTATCCTATTTGCTGGGACTTTTCGTTAATTGGAGGCTGCTTGCCGTTCTTGGTAATGATCTATTCTCTTTACTCTTTTAAGTTCTACAGTTTATAGATGTAAGTTTCATTTCATTTCCTGATGAATGGTATTCTTTGACTTAACTTCCTCACATCTGCGATGAAAGCTCAAATTTCCTTCACATAGAGATGTGTTTTATGAAGGGGAGCCTTGGCATAACTGGTAAAGTTGCTGCCATTTGACCAGGAGGTCACGGGTTGGAACCGTGGTAACAGCCTCTTGCAGAAATGCAAGGTAAGGCTGCGTACAATAGACCCTTGTTCTCCGACCCTTCTCCTAACCCCGCGCATAGCAGGAGCATAGTGCACCGGGCTGCCCTTTTTTTTAGATATGTGTTCTATACTGATCATGATGGTAACTCAAATTTCCTTCATTTAATGATGTGTTTTATAGTACTAAAAGGTCTATAGCAACTGAGAGCAAATATTAAGGATGTTCAAACTTGTCTTGACTCAGAAATGAGCATTAAAGTGGTTTGCTTGGTCTTACCAAACTCAGAATAGTTCAGTTGAGCCGATTATGAGTCGACCTCAAGTGATTATCCTTTGTATTCAGTACATCTATTGGTTTTTGAGTCAAGCTCTAACTGAGCATAATAAATTAAGAAAACACACCCATGGAAAAGAAAAAGAAACGGAAGAGTGTGTTCAAGCTTGACTACTTATTAAAAGAAAAAGTGTTCAAGTTTGGTTTGATGGGTTAACCAGATTAGGTAAGCCAGCTAATCAGCTAGTGACGATTTGGGAATTGACTCATTTTGAATTAAAAGCCACCTCTCTCTTTTCTAGTAGTTTGGAGACAGGAAATAAAGCACTTTCTGTTTCACAGATACTACTTCTGATGCTTGCATACTGTTTAGTTTGAGAACATTTTCTATTTCAAAGTGACCGTCTGTTTTCCTTTTGCTAGAGCAATGAATCATAAGCAGTTTCTAATGGGATAAATGCATACTAATAAACAAACAAAAACCTGCTTACTAGTGCATTTCTTATGGAGAAAAATTGTGCAGACCTAAATATCTGGAGGGTGTTTAATGTATCTCTCTAAAGGGCATGTTAACTTCCATCGAGATTTGCACCAGTTCATTGGGTGATCTCTGCTCCTACTGAAGTAACAGGAAAAGCAGAACATAGTAACTCTTCATCCAATTATTGTCATCCATGCTAACTGGTTTAAGCATATTTCTTCCGGAAAACTGGTATTACTGGTTGTGTTGTGATAGAACAAAACAAAGATCAAAGATATATCGTAGTAGATAAGGGAGGGATAGCCTAGTGGAAGGAATCCTCCACCTTCAAGCTTGAGGTTTGGGGGTTTGAATCACCAAGAAAGGAAAGTGGGAAAGGGTGGCTGTTGCCTCCTCGCAGTGGACTTTGGTGGTTTAGGTTTACCTTATAAAAAAAATAAAATCAAAGTTATTTCCTAGTAAAGTAAAGCTAGTCTGTGATTTGCTTTGAAGTGCAAGATAAAGAACCCAGAATGTGTTAAGCTTTTCAAACAGGAAAGAATCCGAAGTGCTTAGTTTTGCTGGAATCATGCATAGGAAACCCTTCCTTCTTGGGCTTGTGAACTAACTATTATTTTACGCCACAGGAACGCTGCCCTGCCTAGCGCTGATACCTGGACTATTTTTCATCCCGGAATCTCCTCGGTGGTTGGTGAGTATCATAATTTAATTTCCATGGTTCCTTGAAGGTTCTAGTTGCGGTATCTCATGTAAATTTCTTGGTGAGACATAGGCCAAGATGGGTTTGACAGAAGATTTTGAAACTTCCTTGCAAGTTCTTCGAGGATTTGATGCAGACATTTCCATTGAAGTAAATGAAATTAAGGTAATCCAGTTGCTTGAATGCCCTTGAATGAAAAGACATGCAATTCTCGGCAAACTACTGTTCCATGGAACAGTTTTGTAAATTGAGTTTTGCTGTCAGCAATATGGATTTTATTGGCTTCTTATCAAATTTCTGTTTTGTGTAGAGGTCTGTAGCATCCACAAGCCGAAAGTCAGCAATACGTTTTGCAGATCTCAAACAAAGAAGATATTGGTTGCCTCTCATGGTAATTTTTTTGTTCGGTGCTGTTTCCGGAAGATGAACATGCTTACATATATCATTCTTTTGATCAGACCTTTTAATCTCTCATCCTGTAGATAGGAATTGGACTGCTTGTCCTGCAACAATTAGGAGGAACCAATGGTGTGATCTTCTATTCCAGTAACATTTTCCTGTCTGCAGGTATGTCGGTAGCCTTAATGAAATGAATTTATCTGCCTTTTGTAGATAGTACCTAGTATTCTTCCTTTCTGTCAAAAAGCAAAAAAAAGTCAAGAATAATCTAGCGTCCTTAGTTTGCTTGCATCCCTAGCTGGCTAAACGCAATTGCGGGAAGCATTGTAACCTACTTTTAACAACTTATTTCTTGGTGTGATAAGAACCTTGACTAAAATTATTGAACAGGCTTAACAATTTTATCTGTAAATCTCTTATTGATTGACATGTTTATTCACATGATATGAGACCATCTAATTTAGCTGTATATTTAACAGGGATTTCTTCAAGTAATGTTGCAACCTTTGGCGTTGGTGCTATCCAGGTCCAGCTGTCCAGATCAAATCTTAGTTGGATACTCGTTTGCTTTTTCTAATATAATTTCCAAATTCTGCATATTACAGAAAAAGGATGCAGAAAGATCACTTCTTCTTTTCCCCATATGGCAGTTATTTCTTAGTCATATATTGATCTATTTCCCTCATAGCTAACAACTGAAGAAGATTTTTCATTGTTTAGGTTGTTGCCACTGCTGTTGCTACATGGCTGGTGGATAAAACTGGGCGTAGGATTTTACTGATTGTAAGTTCTGGCAAAATGTAGTAACTTATATGCATACTTTTCTAACTTTTTCTAACACAGAAGAAGTGCATTTTTACAGATCTCCTCTGCTGGAATGGCTGTTAGTCTCCTTATTGTTGCTGTTGCATTCTTTCTGAAGGTATATTAGCGGAAGGAATAATTACTTCCTGCGTAAAAGAATGAGGGGTTGTAGCACTAACATATTTCCCTTCTTTCTGCGCACCATTATTTAACAGGGCTTTGTAGATAAGGATTCTACCCTTTATGACATGTTGGGAATATTATCGGTGGTTGGTGTTGTGGTATGTCCTCAACTTGATGCAGAAGTCTTTGTGACTCTTGGAAAAACACCGCTTCTGAATAATTAATTTTTGTTATCTAACCAATTTGTCTTTTCAGTTGATGATTATTGCATTCTCACTTGGAATGGGGCCCATTCCGTGGCTTATAATGTCTGAGGTACTAACTTGTTGATTTATCAGACAAAATTGCTACTGCATTTTCTTTTAATTGATCTGATTGTCCAAGAATCTACGCGTGACATTTATATGCCGTTTTGTAATCTGGAATCGTAGAGGCAGCTTTTGATGAAGTTTTTTTATGCTTGCTATTTCTTGTATACAAATTTTGACATAATTCCTTGAATCTGGCATTGTAGATTCTTCCGGTCAAGATCAAAGGCCTTGCTGGAAGTGTAGCAACATTAGCCAATTGGTTCTGTTCCTGGGTAATTACAGCAACTGCACCGTTGCTATTGGCTTGGAGCAGTGGAGGTATGTCTTTCTCTGTCTCACACACACAACCTAGACCACGTAAACCCGATGAGTATAAATGCAACAATATGAGCTAATTGATATATAACCTAATGCGTAAAAGAATACGTCTTGGCCCGTGTTTGAGTACCCTGTGAAAATTATGCACCCTCCATCTCCTACCAGCTCTGCACTTTATTCAATGCTCACGAGCACCTAAGTGTCGCTTTGTTGTTGCAAAAATTGTTGGTCATGGTCTGTTTATATAATTGATCTGACTTAAAGTGTTTACATCTTTTACCAGGAACATTCACTCTTTATTCACTTGTGTGTGCATTCACCGTGGTATTTGTGACAATTTGGGTACCTGAGACGAAAGGGAAAACGCTGGAGGAAATACAGTTCTCCTTTAGATGATAAAATTTTGAATATTTGCTTTTCTACTCCCTGGTGTTCTTTCTACAATAATTCTTTGCCCTTCCGCAAAAGTTTCAATACCTTATTAGAAGAACATTTGTAAAATTTACTTTTTCATTTATTCATCATCGTAGAAAGAGAGAATCATACTGCTGCTGCTGCTTTGAAAAGTCAGGACCTTGAGTGTTTGCAAGTGGTATTTGAGTTCACCATGCCTTTGTGCATTTTTTTCTTCTTCTGTGTACTATATACAGGAATTTTTTTTTGTTGTAATTGTAATATATTCGCATCTATTGGACATTGTGAGGGTTGCTTAAGAAGGAACTGTTAATCCTTGGTACTGATCTTGCTGTCTCCAAATTTCTGAAATTGTTGCTTCACTAGTTCTTTTCTAATTTCTTGCAACAAATGTATAAAATGGTAAAAGAAAAATCTAGGATGTCCGAGATGCTTCGTGCACCAAGCTGCCGATGAGACATAAAACTCTTCGAATATATAATGAAATGGGAGAATATTTATCATAAGCTAGGATATTCCAGATTGGTTCTGTAAGAGTAAACAACCGATGCAAGGTAATATTGCGTACAATAGACCAATGTGGTTTGGCTTTTCCCAGGACCCCGTGCATAGCGGGAGCTTAATTAATGCACCGGACTACCCCTTAGGATATTCCAGTTAGACAAACACATTATAGATCCTGTCCAGAGATGAGATTGTCGTCCTGAAAGAAGATGATGTGGTCATTAGTACTACAGGAAAACTGCTTTATACTTTGAAAAAGGGTGTTTTGGCATAAGCTGAAGTTGAGAGAAAAAAGTAGCTTTAGCATAGAAAAGATCTTTGTAAGTGTTTGCTAAACAATGAAAAAAGAAACTTGGTAGTAGTTGGTATACTTTCTACCACAAAGCCACTTTCAGCTTGAGCTTCTGGAACTGCTCCACAATTTTTTAGGCTTTAAACCATGTCAGGATTACTTGCTTGAAAAGACATCCTTTTTACTTGATTTTCCCAACTCCTAAAAGAGGGGCGTGCATGGTTTCAAAATGTGTGTGATCTTAGTATATACGTGTTAAGTGATTCTTTATATAATCTAAGATCTTATAAGTTTGATGTACTGGATTGCTACATAAATACACACAGCAGCTAATATTTTTTTCACTGGAGGGTGTGGCCTAACGAAAAACCAAATGGGTAATTAAAATCATGGGTAACAAGTATTCAAATTCAAATAGAGACAAAAAATGTTAAAGTGAAACTTAGACTTACTTTTTGTACTTGTGCTAGTGGAAGATAACCGTTAATCATTAAATAGTCGACGATGCTCACACTAACTTGGACACACTTTTCGAAAAAAAAATCCACAGCTATTTTCACATCGATGTCCTCTCATTATAGATGCCAATAATGTGTATATTTTACAATGCATTGGCTGTAGAAAGTAGGGTGTATAAAAAAAACCAATAAACCGCATTAAATTGAAAATTCGAGTAAAAAAAACAAAAAAAACAAATCCGATTGTGGTTTGGTATGATTTGGTTTGGTATCGAAAAATAAACCAGCATAATTGGTTGGTTTGGTTTAACTAAAAAAAATTAAACCGAATCCAAATCAACCCGGTAGTACATTAATACAATTTTTATAAATATTTCTTATACTTTTTCACATTTTTATCTTTTAACGTATTATTTCAAGTTTGGACTTAACATTCTTGAATGGTAAATAAATTTTATAGCCCATAAATGTAGTAACTCAAACGAAGTTCAAATCAATACTAATGCTGACAAAAGAAATTCAATTCAGCACTAGAAAATGACGATAGTATTGAATATCTATTTTAGGCTATACATTAGTATATAATGAAAATGCATAACTTAGTTTATCTTTTTCTTTAGTGCTTAGTTATGTAATTAGTAGTACTTATTAGCTATATTTATTTTGTCATGACCTATATAGTATTTTTATATTATGTTAATTTTTATTATGGCATATTAATTAGTAATATTTGCTTTATGCAATTTTATTATCTTTGTTGCTGAATATTTTAGTATAATGACATGATTTATCTCATATTATTGTGTTATTTTCTTAAAAAATACATTCTATAGTTGTATTTTACTAGGACTAAAGAAATATGTGGAGCACAAGTTACATTATTTATGCCAAAACAGATCTGTCTGATTGATATCAAAAGATGGATTACATGAGGGACTAATGGGAAGGGGATTGACAGAATTGAAAACAGGAGAAACAATAGGAAAAGAAGTTGAAACATTACATGAAACATCAATTGTAAAAGGAGAAACTAAAGGACTGCCATCAAGATGAATAAAATACAATCCATTGTCAGCTTTACCAATTCCCAGTGGCCTCTTCAGAGAAGGGCCCTATAAGAAACAATGCGAAGTAGTGAGAACTGCAATACAATGAAGTTGTAAAAGAAGTTGATATATTGAAATTAAATTGAACTGAAAGGATGGAACAAGAAGAACATTGTGTAGCACAATATCAGACCTAAGTTGTAATGATCCAATGGATACAACTTTTACTTTGGTAAGGTAATTAAGTAAGGTCTAGTTAGTGGTTGAAGGTTGTGAAGAAAGTGTTTGTAAGGTGTCATGTGATTAGTTGTCCCTGAGTCTAGAATCCAAGTATGAAGATTTAATTGTGAAGATGCACAGGCATGAAAATCCACAGACTTAACTACAGAACTGTAAAACAGACCTGCAAAATGGGCATATGCATGATTATCCCCAGAATGAGAGTCATTTGAGATTCCAGAAGAGATGTATGATTGCTTCAGGAGGGTAAGTAGGTGTTGAAACTGTTCAGAGGTGAATCCATGGTTGACAGGTGAAAAATGTTCCATGGGCGAGGCCAGTGGGGTAGAAGCAGTACCCTCAACTTGAACACATGATGCTGATCTCTTGTTTTTGGTGAACTTGAAATCAGCAGGAAAACCATGAAGTTTATAACATTTTTCAACGGTATGACCTGGTTTTTTGCAGTATCTGCATGACATGGATTGTCTAGGTTTCTTTCGTTCAAACTGTACCTTCTGATTGAATGATCTTTGCCCACTAGGATTTTGTGAATATGCTGAAGGAGTAGAGGATGCAGAAAAAGAGACAGAATCACTAGAAAAGCTTGGGGCCGGAGAGATTTCCCTTTGTCTCTCATCATGTTGTAACATGGAATAAGCTTTACTAAATGATGGAATTGGTGAGATCATGAGGATGTTGCTCTTGACAGTGTTATATGACTCATTCAATCCAGCCAAGAACCAAAACAGTTTCATCTCATCAAGAAATTTTGGTAGAGCACCACATGAACATGTAGGACCTACATAAGCAGTCTGAAGCTCATCCCAAAGACTACGAAATTTGGTGAAATAAGAGGCTATGTCTAAGGTACCCTGGGAAATAGTTCCAATCTCCCTTTGTATCTGAATAAATTTGGAACCATTAGACTGACCAAACCTCTCATTTATGTCTGACCAAATCTCTTTTGCAGTGTCATATTGATGATAGGCTATAATTGCATATTTTAGTCGCTTATTACACTTGAATTTACTGCACTTTAATTGAGTTTGCGCTTTAATCGCTAGTGTTTTGCACTAATTATGTGTTTTATGCCTTGTAGGTGTGATTCCGAGCTATATAGATGTTATGGAATGAATTTAAGTGATTTGAAGCTTTGAAGTCTGAGTAAAAGCTCAAGGAATTAAGCCGGGATCGTGTTCGGGGGTCAAATTTGATAATTAAGTACGAACGAAGACTTGAGGAGGCATATTGCGCACTGTCTAGTAAATAGACATAACATTTTGCTCAGAACTCCATTTGGGCTCTACAATATATGGTTGGAAAGCTAATTCAAAGGGCTACAACTTTCATGTTTTACGTTTTTTCAAATTCCAAACGGAACAGGGTGGAAAACGCAGTCGAAACCGCGACCGCGGCAGAAAATCAGATAACTTGTCTGGCCGCGGTCCTACCGCGTTTTGGCCGCGGTCGCGCCCTTCCAGGCGTCAAAAAGAAGTCCTATTTCGCCCGGGACAAGTTTATTTCGGCCCTACACTATTCCAACTTGTATAAAAGGGATCCTAAACCTATTTTGAAGTGAGGGGGACATATTTTAGACATAGATTCGACCTAAGGAGGCAAGAACACATTGGGAGCAAGGCGGAGAATTCTTCTACGAGTTTTTCCTTCCTCTTCCTATTTTTCATTGTTGGTTATGACTTTTAGTATTGTAGTTTTACATACTATTATGAATAGCTAATTTGTTATCTAGAGTTTTGATAGAACCTTTTGTAGGATAAATTCTTGTTATGTTTTTATATAATTGAGCCATAGCTTTTCTCTATTCGTTCAACTACGTTTATATTGTGGTTGGTTGAAGAGCTCTCAATTAGCTGTGCCTATTTAGTATGCATAACTCGGGAGAGAGTGCATATTTAGGTAATTGTTGAACAACACCACTCCCAGAGTATATGAGGGATCAATAACCGAGGGTTCAAAGGTGGGATTAGGGATAACGAAGCCTTGGGTGCGATCTGAAGTGAGCTGTATTAAAAGCCAGCTAGCGTAGCTCGGGAGAGTGCGTCTAGTAAATTGTCGTAATTACTCGGGAGAGATTTACGGTAATAAGAGTGCTCATGATCGGTAGAGAATACTTAGGCGAAATTATAGAAGACATAGCGGGAAGGATTCCGACAATAGGGGAAATCATAACTCTTAGACCTCCTTAATCTTTTCTCTAACCCTCAGTATCGTTAGTTGTTAATTTACTATTTTAATTTGTTAGTTAAGTAGTTAAACACAAGAATCTCAATATATATAAGTTAGGAATTGTTCAAGCTTGTCTTCTTGGTGATAGTGAACAATTGTAGCTAAACCTTAGTTCTCTGTGGGATTTGACTCCGGACTTGTAAACCGGATTATATTTGCAGCGACCGCATTGTCCTTTTTATAAGGCATAGTTGGGCGTGATCACATATCCTAGAACACTGGTGGCAATATCTCTAGATAGGGAATTAGTGATCCAGGCGACCGCCATATCGTTGCACCTTTCCTAGTAGGGATAATAAGGTGAATCACTAGAAGGTTTAGACTGGCGACCATCAATTAGTGCCAATTTATTTTTGGCAAAAAGGGAAACTAGCATACTTTTACGCTAGGCAACAAAACCAGTACCATCGAAAGGAGGAGATACCAGGTGAGTGCCAGGACTGTCTGAGGGATGAACATAAAGGGGATGTGAGGGATCTAAAGTGAATATAGTAAAACCATCGGATTGATTAGAGGGATTCACACGCTCATAGCTGAGAAGAAAACCCAAAATCAGA